TCCTGGGACCGATAATTTTTATTTTATTAACCAGTTTGACATTATAGATTCGGATGTACTATTTACAGCTTTCGCAGATGATGTTTAATTTCAGATAATACGGTTTAAGCAATTGAATACAATACATTGATTTCAAAAATTAGTAGTTCGTTCTGTGATAACTCTCTTTATTTCGTCATACACGAAAGAGCGAAAATAAATTAAAAATTGAATTGGACAACGAAAAGATGTCTTTTAAAATCCCTTCAAAAATTATAAATGGAAAACACAATATAATATAATATAATATAGCAATATAATAATCAAAGTATAAATTTACTAGCAATATACCAGGGCCTAAGCCTATTCAAATTTAACCCTGGTAAACCAGACTAAAACCTAGTTTATGTTTATATGTTCTGATTTTCTTAAGTTAAATATCAAACGACAGAAACAATTCTGCACCTTCAAATGCTCCAAATTATTAAAATTGATTAAAAATGCCTTGCAGAATGTAACTTTCATTTTGGTATTTACAAAATGACGACTAGGGTAAAGTTGCTTAAGTGAGATATATTGCGTTTGGGTAAGAATTTTTATGTATTCGGTAAAGAGTAAATTAGAGTCAAGCAGGACAGCAGCAGGTTACGTGCCGTTCCACTATACGTTAAATTGTGATTCAATATTCAAATATGACATTAAGAAATCTCTGTTTATCTTCTTGCCAAATAGCAGCAATTTGAATTTGGAGGCATTCAGTTTTAGCGCGTGTTGATCAGAATGATTAAGTAAGTGTGCAAGTATTAAAATCAGAAAGTGATAACATAACTGTATGTCATTGGCAAAGAGAGGTGCTTCGGCTCAACTACGGAAGCAGGAGAGTCTTCTTCTGCTCGGATAGTAGATGTGCACTCATGGCGCTGAAGTCAGTGCGTACGCGCTCCTTGTTGATAAAGGAGTGCAAAGGGGTACTGAGGAGGGTGGCTGAGGAGAGAAAGGTCACGTTGGTCTGGGTCCCGGGTTACACCGGTGTCCGGGGCAATAAGGCAGCGGACGCCTTAGCCAGGGAGGGCTCCTCGCATAGGCATATAGGGTCAGAGCCCCGCTTGGGGATCGCCCCGTGTGTGAGGCGGGGAGCTCTCGAAGCCTGGGCGAGAGACCGGGCCGCGGGGGGCTGGAGAGTTGCTACGGGAATGAGGCAGGCGAGGCTTATGATGGATGGGCCCGCCCTTCCTCGGACCAGGGAGCTGCTTAGACTGACCAGAAGGGAGTGTAGAGCACTAACAGGGGCCTACACAGGACATAGCAGGCATAGGAGGCATCTCTGCTTGCTAGGCATTGGAGACGACCCGGAGTGTAGGTGGTGCATGGAAGGGGAGGAGACCCCGTATCATCTGCTCACCGAGTGCCCTGCCTTGACATGGGCAAGATTGGGAGTCTTCGGAACGGCCCTGATCGATCCGGACTCAGTGCACGGTATTGGGCTAAAGGAGTTGCTGACCTTCTACAGGAGGGGCGGCATTCTGGACGCCCTCTAGAGCGGCCTGGAGGCACAACGGGTCCATCTGGTGGCCTAAGTGCTTGGACGCCCCCCTTTAATACCAATACCAATACCAATACCAATGTTATCGGCAAAAGCTTGCACCTTGCCTAGGGTAATGGATTTAAGGAGTGTGGCCTTGGGACACCCCAGAAAGCACATTGCTGGTCTTTGAAAAAAGCACCATTCACCAGAACTTGTAACATTTTACAAAAATAATATTTGACAAGATTTAATAATCCATTCTCAAACTCATAAGGCATTGGACAATAAAAGACGGTGGTTAATGCCTTGAAGTGATAAAGCAATACAAGAATCCAGGTAGCAGAGGCTCGTCAAAGTGACGTCAGTTTCGAATCATAAGTGGTCGTTACTCGTCAGTGGTCCGAAAAACAAATCGACTTCAAAAAACGATGTCTCCTAAACATCACAAAAATGACCTCCGAATATCGTCATAAAATGACTTGATTAATTCCAAATATGGACTTTGGACGAAATAATTAATTTAAACTACTCTCAAATTCTTCTAGAGGGTGTCAAAGTAATATATTTCGTTTATTATTTGTTTTAGGGAAAAATATTAAATGCATACGCTATGGACGAGAATAAAAGAAACAATTTAAAATTATTTTTAAATATACACGGTGATTCATAAATATGTGAGAAGTCATGACATTAATAGATATTCCCTTTTATACTCAACAACCTAATGTAGGGTTTTTATGGTCTATACTGAGTGTCTTCGGATTTATGGCCATTTTTGAAAAATGCACTGTGCACTACACTTTTTACGCGGTTTTAAACAACTGTAATTTAATTATGCCAACAATTTTAGAAACTGGCATAACTCTGCCTTCATCGGCTGGCTCGGGTCCGGTAGGTATTAAAGGACAAAACATTAGATAAAATTATGGATTTGTTGTCTAATCTCTATAGCTTTAAATTTCATGGATCTCCATGTGCGTAATCGGTGAGATTCCATTACTACTTGCCTTTTATCTATTTTTTGTAATTAAATCCCATTTACCAACAATTCTAGCTTCTTTTCCAGTGTATCCAAGGTAGGAATAAATTCGCTTTGGTAAAGACAATATATTTTCCTTCTTATTAGGTCCTGATCACTATTGTCTATACGGGGAGTTGGAAAATCAATAAGTTATTATAATATTATTAATACCCTTATCGACGATATTGGCGTTTTCGTAAGTACACAGGTTTCTTGTTGAATAAGTCCGCTGCTGATTGAAGTTTCATACACATTTTTCCCAACGTGTTTTGCATCAAGTGACAAATAATTTATAAAATAGTTATATTCTCGTAAAATAGCTTTTTCGAAACACATAGTAAAAACGATTATTCAACACTGCCACAAATGGTGAACACTCGAGATATATATCAGAAAGAAAGAAATATACCCGGCCCACCCCTGCCTTATCACTCAAGTAAGAATAGTTTTTTTGTTGATGGCTTCACTTAATGACAAAACGTAATAACATCATTTATCCAATACTTGCCTTGAAGTTAATTCGAAGCATTTATACAGGGAATTCAGAATGAAAAATATTAATTATCTTGAAAAATCCAAATGGGAGACCCTGTATATTATACTTCCGTTATATTTTTTTTTTTTTAAGAAAGGCTTATCTTTATTCATTCCTATTCTCCAGTTTCCGTAACCGCAGGAGGCATTCAATGTAACTTAAAGCGGCAGTTTCCGTGTGATTTACTTTCGATTTTCCCAACTGCAAAAAAAACAATTTAAAAATCATCATATTTTTCGACAGTAAAGACCAAAATCTGACTTTAAGTTGGCTTAAAAAAGGTATTTGCAAATGACCAAAATTGATGGCACTAATTTTAAACAGACGTCACTTAAATTACACCATTCCTCTGAGACATTAATAGGCCAAATTCACGTACTGCTGACGTCGTAGACGACGTCATTTTCGTAATTTCTGACTAGTCAATGATGTCATTTTGACTACCCTTTTGCTGCCTGGGAACACTTTCTAGAACACAATCATGGGCCTCAATAATAACCAGTAACCACCGCAAGGTCTGCAGATGAGCTAAATCCTTTACAAAACCCGTTCTGCATAATATAATTTTAGAAGATGCTGGAAGGATGGCTATACTGCGCAGATTGTTTAGAGTTGTTGCTGTTTTGGCTTTGAGTAAAAGAATTCCGATTCCGGTCTTCCAGCTTTGATAAAAGTTTCAATACAGCTGTTTATGATATTAGTGATGTGTGGGTCAATAACTGGCCTACAGCAATTTAACATTGTGTTACGCCATATGTACTGCTGGTGAAGGTGAATTGAAATTGCTTAGTGTTACCGAATGTTATATATCGCCATTTGGTCATTACACGTAACTGAAATATGTCCAAAATATTGAGCAGAATGACTATTAATTCTATTTGGATGTGCCAGATTAAGTGGTAAATTTCGATTAAGGCAGTTGCGCAAATTAGGCATGCTAAGTGCCGTCCATGTCGTTTTAGGTTTTTTTTTGTCATGAAATAAAGTTAAGGTATGCTCGCTTTTCAGATCTTACAACAGATACCGTTTGGTTGGGAAGCTCCTTGTACCAGTTCCAGTCATTAACTGATTTAGTGCTTTTAAACTTTTTGAGGGCATTGTCACGTTCTTTCATGAGGGATTTAAGGCTATCCGTTGGCGAAGAGCCTTAGGTTTCGTTACTCTGGCTTGCTTTAGTGTTTTTTTTAAAGAATATTGTTCTCATAAATGCTGTTCATCCCACAGATCCGACAAAAATTCTTTTAAAATAAAGTTTTTAAAACTGCGATAGGTAACTATTCTTACGTCATAAGTAAACTCTCAAAATTATTAAATTATGTTCTGGGGCAATTAATTAGCTTTATTTTGGGAATGATGACGCAAGGCTACGATGTCCTGTCTGTTTCTGGGGTTCGTCAGCCCTCGTGACAGATTTTGTCCAAAAAAAGGTGTATACGTTCACTGTTTGAAAAAGCGAAAACTTCATAGTTGTAGAGATTAGTTTTAGAAACTTAATATTTTAACTCTACCGTATTTGTTTCTGTATGAACCCTATTTGTTTTCCAAAATGTGATGTGCAAAAGACATTCAAAGTTATGTTAAAAATCTTTAGGGCATCATTTTTTCTCTTCCTTTTAGGTTAGTATTATGAATGACTTCTCCTGTCCAATGTACTATTGTCGATAGACGTAAACGTATTGTATTGGCTGAGGATCAAAATTAATTCCTCTTCAAAACATGATTGATCACACATATATTTGTGTTAGATTTAAAAATGTCTTATTTTGTTAGCGTTTTTAATTGTCCTCTTATGGGATCAATAATATTTAAGTTTTTGGTAAACCCAGTAAATGACAAAACCTAGTATCTTCTAGTGTTATAGTATTATTTTAATTAATTTTGTCCTTCCCACATCTACAAATTGTACAGATCAATTTACAAAGCATCCTCTTTTGTTTCAGTTCAACAATTATGGATCGCCCACCGTCTCATCCGCCAAACCTACCGCTCCCATAATCATATCACCCAACAGTAGCAACTCAAGATGTCCTAGAGGGTGCAAAAACAGAATCAGCACGATGGAAACCAGCACTCCTTTCACCTTCGCGGAAAGCTCTACGGAGTTGATGTTGGATGATCTTGACACTAACGGCACGTGCGAGCTCATCCATCCAGACAGCATCATGCGCAACGTGATGTTCCGCTCCATCATCTACAGCGGCTACGCGATCATATTCGTGATAGGATTAGTGGGCAATACGTTTGTGTGCTACGTAGTGATGTCGTCACCGCGTATGAAAACGGTGACGAACTACTTCATCATGAACTTGGCAGTGGGCGACATGCTGATCACGCTGCTATGCGTTCCGTTCACTGTGGTAGCCCTGTTGGATCAGTACTGGTCTTTCGGCACGTTCATGTGTCCGTTGGTCAGCTACGTCACTTCGCTCTCCGTGTTTGTCAGCGCCTACACTTTGGTAAGTTCTCGAAATAGCAGTGGTGTCGTATCTCGATGTTGCCTAGTATTGTAAAATTCGAACTGAGTTATGCGAGATCCCAGAAGCTATAGCTGCTAGGTAAATTATTATAAATGTCAAATTTTGAGGGGTAATGGTAACAAAAACTGAAATAAATTTTTTGTGGGTTGACTTTTAGAAATTTTCTCGTGTTCCTTTTTGAGAAAAAGGTGCACAAAGACGGCCTAAAAGAAATTATGATTATGAGTTAGCGCTAAGCAGAATTGAGGCCCCTGGCAGATATCACCAACATTGCTAGAACCATTATAAGTTTGCTGATATGATGTTTCCATTTCATCACATCTCAATTTTTCTATAAATTAGAATGAAACAAATGCAATGAAGGAGAATTCGAGGCTCGTTCGAAGAACGATATTTCAACATAGGTTTTCTATGAATGTTTGGGCCGGTATCAGATATATCATAGATCGTTCTATTCTGTCAGATAGATTAAATGTTCGTTGAACTGAGGTGGCTTTTACTTGATGAAAACCCATTTAACAAAATAAATAAGGACTAAAACTTCAGATTTTCATGAAATTATATATATTCACATGACAATTGTTTCAAGAATACCGTGTCTTTATCTTTTCTTTTTACTTTTATTTATTTTTTATTTTATTTTTATTTTGTTAAATGTTTGTACTTGAATTTTCTTACAAATTATCTGGCCGAATTGTTTGAGATTATTCCCATACATACTTGCTCGGATATGTTCTTTCAGCATTATCACTTTGGGCAGGGCGTAAAAAACTGGTTAGATGAATATTTTGCAAACAAGTGAAGACCAAAGTAGCCCAGTAAATTGACCAGCTTAAACTCAGAGAAGCGGATAGTTCTCTTAAGGCTAATTAATGATCCCGGGAATCAAATTAGGAACACTCGCTTCGCGATTCTTCGTGTCATTCATTACGGAATTATAATTAAACTTACTGACTTACTGGTTAATATATTTTTTTAAAAGTGTTTTAGGTTAGTGAGCTACCAAATGAAAATTAACAAATAAGAAAGCTATTAATTCGGTTTCAATGCTGCTTTCCAATTTTTTATAATTAATTATTATAACTGCATTTTCCCCGAAAATGGTTCATCCTAGCGATATCAATCAAGTGTTCCATCTTTTATATATAATAGTAAAATATATGTTAATAAAATTTGGCTTCTCATTCATTTACTGGACGTTTTACTTAAAGATCTAAATGTGCCAGTACTTTAAAACCAGTAGACGTATCTTTTTATCATACTTGGCCGGAAATGTAGATAACACACTTTCCCAAATTCTGCTCCACTGGTGAAATTCTTATTCAAATGCAATTTTTATATATTAATAACATACTCCTTCTTTGTAACGATAACATAATTATTTTTTTGAGATATTTTAAGTTAAATATGAAGCTGGCCCATCGAACTAACAATATGTCATAAAGTTATTTATTTCAGTGTCCTTCAAGGAATGGAGGATGCGTTTAACATTTAAAAACAAAGTGTTATAATCTAAATAAAACATTATGCAATTAATAAACCACTTTGTATATGTTATAACGATGATATCTTTCGTTTATTATTTTTTATTGGATTTTTGAGCCAAATTGATTTTTTTCTTCCCGTGACGTGCTATAATGATTTTTTTAAGAAGTATTTGTGGAAAGAAATCAGTCTGACCACTTTATTTTAAAAAATATCTCGTTAGTGGAAAATAACATAATTGCCAAACTAATTGTTTATATTCATCAGATTAAATTTCTCATACTTACTTACACTTTCAGGTAGCAATCAGCATAGACAAATATATGCTGATAATGTGGCCACTCAAGCCACGGATCTCCAAGCGTTCTGCCACCGCCATCATTGGGCTAGTATGGCTTATCGCTGGCACCACAGTGCTGCCCACTGGTACCTTTTCGCGGCTAGTGCAGCCAACCGGCGAGAACAATTCCAGGACGATATATCATAAATGTGACAAGTAAGTAGACATTGAAAATGAAGGGATAAATGGACGAATAGAATAAGTCGATTAAATCATATTTAAAAATATCTAACCCTACTTTTTTAGTACTAAGTTTATACAGGGTTCTTAAAGCTCGATTTGCCATTAAAAGTAAGTAGATAACGGATAAAGCCGACATTGATATTTTCGTAGAAAAGATATTGATAAAATACTGCTGTTACTTTATATAAATAATATATTTACGAGTTAGATAGTTCAAATTGACCAAAATTTTACATGAACAGATGTCCTGAACATCTTAACTTTTGAGGTAAACTTTTCAAAAATAAATTATATTTTTTTTAATATGTGTTATACCACTTGAGATATTGTAATGATATTTGGCACATATGTACATGTATGTGTGTGTGAGAGGCAATATTTAATACAGCATTTTTTTTTAAATACACCAGCGGCGGACGTACGGAATTTCAACTGTCTATTTTGGCAGACATTGATTTTATGCCACTGATGTCTCTTAAAATAAAAATTGTTCTTACAATCTCCAATTATTTTTAAAAAAATTGTGAAATTTTTCATAATAAAAATAATAATAATAATAAGCTTCATTGTCTAAAAGATATAATGTCCAATGACTAGACAATTAATTCGCTGACTATAGGTACCAGGTCAAATTAAAATTGCTAATACCGAAAACGTACCAATAAACAAAATAGAAAAGAACCATCAAAACCAAAAGCAACCACATAAAACACTTTATAGATATAAACAAAATAAAAACATAAAACTCAAAACCGAATCTACAATAATTATCCGAAACGTAAAAATCTATCTTTTAATGCCAAAGTAAACTGAGCCGGTGTTAGATAATTGATATCTATATCTGACCAAGAAGTTTGTGGAGGGAGTTGGAAGGTCAAATATTGGAGATGTTCTGACTGCCCGCGAAGGTGAAAACCGATCTATTATTATTAATAATTCCGAACAGTCCCTCAGAGATCTACATAATTTAAATAAAAATTGAATTGACGCGTTACGATTATTTAATATCGGTTTCTTGAATCGCTTTAAGAGAACATTATAATCAAAACGTCTTTGTGGAAACACACACACTTAAAAGCTAGATATTTTGAAAATTGCCTTTAAACTCTTTCTAATTGGATAATATATTTATTGAAAATAGGCTGTCATCTTATGACCCCATACTTCAGCTTAGATCTAACATAATTAAAGTAGAGTGCCTTTAGTGCCTGTTCCCTTGGCTAGCAAACAAAAGCTTAGTATCAAATAAAATAATTTTATATTGCCTAGAAAATAGTCAAAGCCAACAAAAAAACATTTGTCAAAATTTAATGGGAATCTGTTGAGTTTACACCAAGAGTCAACAATTTGAAGATCCTTCTGAAGAAGGTGACGGTCATCTTGATTACGGATAACTCTAAATACTTTCATGTCATCTGCAAATAGTAATAATTTACTCGATATGCCAGTAATGACCTCATAGGACGGATGTCCTCGCACCTCGACGTACTGAACTTTACTATACAATACTAGATTTGCATCGAAGCCCATCTCCACAAGTTTGTGGAGAAAAATGTCATAGTCAACCCTAACGAAAGCTTTCGAGAAGTCTGTGTATAAGGCATCCACTTGAAGTAGAGTATCCAATGCTTGAGAGGTAAATTGAGAGAAGCATGTCAAATTACTAAGGGTACTACGTTTGTTAAAAAAAACATGCTGATCTTCCGCTGTCAAATTTTTAACCTGATTAAAATTACCATGGTACATTGCCGTCTCGAGAACTCTCACAAAAGGTGATAATATAGACACCAGCGAGTTTACTGCTATTTCCCTGTTTGAAGACCGGTGTTATTCTAGCCTCCTTCCAGCTACTAGGAAAAGAATGTGTCTCAAAAAGATAAGACAAAGGTTTTAGCATTGGAACTGCACAATCTCTATGATTGCAGTACTGAATCATCGGAAAGACTGCTCAAGGTGATGCATGAACTATCATGTCCAGAAGTCACATGGTGACTTAGCCCAGATGGTGCAGCGTAAACACTGGTAAAATAATTGGTAAAAGCGTTAGCTATTTCGCCAGGACCGGAAAACTGACCGTCGCCATATTCAAGCAGGTCGGGTATCGATATAAGAGGATTTTTAAGTTATATTTGTGTTGGTGTCAATTAATAGGGAGAATCTGCTTTTTGCCTGTGGTCATTGTCAGTGAGATGTTAAGTGTAGGGTAGTGACTATCCTCCGGCACCAATATTTCTATCTCTCTAGAAACTTTTAACATTAAAAAGGATTAAGTTATATTAAATACCTAGGTATCTATATTCTTTGGCAATCCAAAATATACAATAGTAAAAATGACATTTTAAACTTAAAGTAAAGTAAAAAAATAGTGTCTAAGAAATACCACTTCAAAAATTCTATAGAATTTTCATTCGTCTTTACTAGATAACAAAGTGTGAAACTAGCTGGCGAATGATTTGAAACTGAAACTACCAATGAAACGACACTATTTATGTATAGTGCAGTGAGTCTGCGAAGGGATGCTAAAATAGGCAGGGGTACACCTTACCGGCATAACTGGCACTTTTCGTGAAATCAAAGTTACGTAAATGCAAGTGAAAATGTAGGCCAGCATTATTAACCTGCAAGTGACGTGCACTAAATTTTTAACAACAGTATACAACGATAATTATAATTAATTTTCAAAATGCCAACAGTTCATTTATAAACATTTTCTTATACATTTTAATAAATGCTGTTTCTAATGATTTCGGAACCGTTTATTATTTTCGTCATAGGTGTTTCATACACTAAAGTTAAGTTCCCCCCAAAAAAGAAGTCCATCGGATTAAGGTCTAGTGAGCGAGGCGGCTACGCTATGGGTTCACCCCGAACTATCCATCGATGTTCAAGTACTCGATTTAAATACCTTTGTACAGCCAATGTAAAATGGGGTGGAGAGCCATCTTGTATTAACCACATGTTTTGTCACCACTGCAAGGGTACCTCTTCCAGCAAAGGTGATAGTTCCTCTTGGAGAAATTTCAAATACATTTCCCCATTAAGCAATCCGTTAAAGATTATCTCATATAATAAGATTCTCTCATATAATCCCTACCCACCCATTTAAAGAAAACCGGTGCTGATGTTTTCTTTCAATATGATGCATATTTAGAAAATTTACAATGCCATCACGACCGAATGCAGCCTCGTCAGTGAACAAAATGACATTTAAGAATCGCGGGTAATTTTAAATTTTGAAACATGAAAGGGCCGAAGATCTCGTACTCGTTGAAGGGTCAGCCTCCACATTTTGAAGTATTCCTTTTTCTCTTGCAGCAGTTCTTTTATACCTTCGTCTCCCTTTATATTGTCAAATTTGAATGATCCTCTTTCAAGTCTTCTGTGTATGTTGATCAATGTCTTAGCAGAAGAACGTTTCTATTGGGATAAGCCTCTATATAAAGCCGTCGCGCTTGATCTGCATTCTAATTAGCTCTTCCGTAGCAAAAAAGCATATTGCAGATAACGGATTGTGACAATGACTTTTAAAAATTTCATTAGGTAAGTCTTGTTAGGTAAAGTCACATTTACATTTACAGGTAAAATTCTAGCCAAAAATGAAAAGTCGATTTGCGGCTAAACGATAACACTTATCGACTTAAAACACGGCGTTAAAAATCAAATTAAAAAAAATGACAAATAACTCGGAAAATATTACAATTTCGAATTTTTGTTACATGATTTACTTCCATTATTTTACTACGTTGAATCTTTCCTCCAAGTTTCCCAACTCAATTTCCGAACATATGTCAGTCGAAACAACTTTACAGGTTCTCAGATACGATTTTATTCCGTATTAAATAGGCCACCTGGAAATATGAAAGGCTTGTCGGATCTCGTCACGCAATAGTTTGCGATTTGCGCACGCACAAATGTTTCAAAATAGTTTAACAAAGTCACGGAGAATTTCAACTTCAGAGTGAAACAGATTATCCCTCCGCAACGACCATAAAAAGGGGACGACCTGTTACTTCGCATTGGCAGTCGAAGACTCGTGAGAATTCGATCGGATTAAAAAACTCATCGAACGACAAAACGACTTCTTAGAAGCTTCGCTTAACCCCTGGAAAACTCCATCGAATGTCTTAAGGAAAAATTTTACGATCGCCATAAACGCGTGCTTTTATAGGGCGTCCTGTATCCAATGTAATAGAAATATTTATGTGCCTCGATGCGGCGTTAATGGAAAAAAATGAGGTTGCAGCGAATCCGACACTCGCGGTTATTATTTGTGTGGTGTATTATGATTATTTGTCATTTAAACGAGGGCGCAAACTGTCGCGTCTAGATTACTTATTGCCGCAAAGATATATTCCATGCAAATAACTTTCGTGGTTTGGTGTTAGCAAATTCATTACTTGGTGGTTGTTTGAAAAGTTAAATGGCACTGGCGCAAAAGATGCAATATTTTTGAAAAATAGTTCCAAGCTTTTCTATAACACGAACAAAGTTAACTAGCTGAAAACTCACACGAAAAAGTACAGTCATGGTATAATTAAAATTAGAATTTTCTGCAATATTTTGCCAGGCTCCATTTTTTGTTTTTTCATTACTTGAGCGGGAATTCTGTGAATTCCAACTATCGAACTGAAATGGTAGTGCTGGTATCACCGTATACTTCTTATGAGGAACTTTTATTCAAGGTGAGAGGCATAGTGATGGGAATTGTTTTCTTTGTCATACGCGTTAATACTAATAAACTGAAGTAACACTAGTGTTTGGATTTTTTGCTGCAAATTGTTTCATGACCGATACTTTTGAAAAATTTTCAGTTCTCGCTTGAACTAAGTGAATGTGAAGTGAATATGAAAAAGCGACCATAGACGTAGGTAACGCTTGTGCAATAAAATTATTTTTAATCCTTTGCAAATCCGACGTCATTTTCGACCAATTTCACGCTCTATTTACACCGTGTGCAAAATAAAACGATCCAC